TGAGGTTGCCCTTTTTTGGAAGCTTAGTAATGATGCCTTTTTTCCAGCCCGCTGGAATGCGGTTTGTTTCCCACACCTCTCGGATTATGGGGAGCAGAAGTTCAGCAGTTAGATGCGGATCAGTTTTAAGCATTTCGGCAGCAATGTTATCGATTCCCGGAGACTTGTTATTTTTCAGAGATTTGATAGCTGTTATTATCTCTGTTTTGGAAGGGGCGTCGCAAGATATACGCAAGTCTATATTCTGTGGATTTTCGACAATTTCATCTGCGTTATCCCTGGGCGTGCCTAGCAATCTCCTGAAAATGCTCTTTCCATCTATCTATTTGGTCATTTGTTGTGGTAAGTAGTTCTCCTGTCTTGGATCTTACGTCTAAAAATGGCCATACTGAACATAAAAGATATTACGTCTTACTAGCCTATAATAATAGCATCCACTCAGTAACAAAAATGAAACCATACGAGCTGATTACGGGACATATAGATAATAATTCTCCTTTTAATATCGATATCGAGCAACAAGTTTTAACTATTTATTCGTTTTTTAATAATTATATTTCAAACCATAAAGAAAAGATGAAAATACTTTATTCTAATATTAATAAATCCTTACAAAACGTAAAAGAAAAAGTAATCTCAAAAGCTAACGAAAAACGAGAAGAATTGCCCGAAACAATCCCCAATAAAATATTTGTGCGTAACAGACAATTTCAAGGTAAAACAGAAAATAAATACAATGCTGAAAAAATAAGCAAAATTAATAAAGAAAGAAAAACAGCGAAAATAGTTAGTCGAAATAAAAATACTGCTGAAAATATCCACGTTTCTAATGTCAAACGACCTAAAAGAAAACCTTACAAATTTTCAGGTTCCTCGCAATCGGAGGCGCAGCAATCCAAATAAAAGATGTTACCCATAATCTAGGCATACTACCAATCAAATTGGGACCTACCAAACTTCAAAAATCTAGCCACACATGTGTCCATTACTACAATTTAAATCCGCTTTTAGAAGAATATGATAGCTTAAATATACAGTATGATCATCTCAAAAATAATCTTTCTAATTGTAAATTTTTCAATAACGAAACAAAAAATTATGTGAATCTAGCACAGTATGTCAAAAATAACATTGAGGAAAGTTTTGAAAATCTAAACATACATACAAAATTGCAAAGAAATAAAAGAGGTATAATCAATGGGTTCGGTTCAATTATTAAAGTTGTAACAGGAAATTTAGATGCCGAAGATGGCGAAAAAATTAACTCAATACTAGAACACTTAAAGACGAATGAAGCAAATTTGCAAAGCCAAATCAATAACCATAGGTATTCGCTAAGTCATGAAATTATCAATAATTTTAATGAAACAATTCAAAACATACAAGAAAATGAAATTAATTTAAAATAAAAAATTTTGGCAATAAAAAATATAGTAGACTTCCAAACAAATTTTGAAAACGTCAACTATTTGAAAGACATGTTTATCGAAATTATAATAACATACAACCTAATACTCAATACAATGGAAAATGTCCAGAATTCTATTACATTTTGCAAACGAAAAACACTACATCTTAGCATTATTAAATCTAGTGAATTATATAACGAACTCCAAAAAATGTCATCACATTATAAAACACAACTGCCCTTTGAAGTAAAATATGAAAATATTTACCAAAAAATGTCATCACATTATTAAACACAACTGCCCTTTGAAGTAAAATATGAAAACCAAATACAATATTTTCGATCAATTCCTATTAATTATGAATCTAATTTCGACCTTTATAAATTATTACCAATCCCAACAAAAAGTAAGTCAGAATTTGTTATCATGTTACCAAACTCAAGATATTTATTAAAAAACGAAAAAGTAACAATTCCTCTAAATGACATATGTACTTATGGTAAGATCTTTCAATGTCCTGGTTATCTCCAAATCAACCACGAGCACTCATGTGAAGATGAAATTCTATTTCATGACATCTCCTCGGACTGCCAATACTTAAAAGCAAAAATTCCATTAAACCATATCGAAATCATTCCAGAAATTAACCAATATTTAGCTATCTTTCCTAAAGAAGAAAAAATACTCATTAAATGTGCAGATGAGACGCAGATAAAAATCTTAAACGGAATTTATCTCATAGAGAACACACCATGTAAAATTATATTCCAGAACAAAGAGTCAATCTTTCAAGATGTCACATCAGGACAACCATTATTATTCCAGGCAAACTGATTCCAGACGAACATCAAGAAGAAGCAGAACTAATCTGACTTGACAATAGCAAGTGTGACCTTGCCGAAATATCGTCAAAACAATGGTTATTCTAAGAACCAAAACTATTTAACGCGGAGTCAAACCCAGAAAACATCTAAAATCATATATAGCTCCCGCGGAAATTTCAAATCCAATATATATATATATATATATATATATATATATATATATATATATATATATATATATATATATTAGTATTTTTATTTAATATATTAAAGGCACCCATGTTATTTTTAAAAATTTTGTGTCTTATCATCTTTTTGTGACTCGCTTATCGCAATAAAAATCCTAATTTAGTAAACACAACACTAAAATTAACGTCCAAAGTGATAACAAATAAATTTAGTGAAATTATAACGCTAGCAGAAGAACAAGGTTTTTTTAGTTTAGGCCGCGAAGGTCATGCAACGACGCTATATTTCTAATAATGCAAGTGGTAGGGAAACACTTGCGTTAGAATATAACAAACGGGCATATTTATGTTTCGTGAACCTTAAGAAGCCATTTGACATGTTCAAATTAAAGGACATTATCCACGTATTATACACAAGAGAAATGCCTCTAGGAATACAGGAAATTAAAGGACATTATCCACTTTATACACAAGAGAAATGCCTCTAGGAATAATCAAAATGATCTACCAGAACAACACAATAAAAGTAAAAGTAGAGAAAGAACTAACTGACCCTATTAAAATTGGCAATCTAATAAGACAGGGAGAATCCCCTGAGTCCTCAATTGTTAAATCTGATCATGGTTGAAATAATAAAAAAAATAACCAAAAAGGGATAAATAATGAGGCAAAAACAACTTAAAATAATCTGCTTTGCAGACGATATAATACTAATCTCTTAAAATGAAGATGATTTACAACATATTCTGCACTAATTTAATATAAACGCCAGAAAATTTAACATGATACTTTCCCAAAAAGGAAAAACACATGATTATAACAGCAAATCTACTAAGATGTAAATTAGAGCTGGAATGTCAAATAATAGTACAAGTCATGGAGTTTAAATATGTAGGCTCGAAACAGAAGTGAAAGATTAAGTAAATAGAAAAAACAGAGCCGAAGTTTGCCTGAATGAGATAATATGGTGAAATTATAAGATCGGGAAAGAAATGAAAGTCAAAATTATCAAAATAGTCATCAGGCCAATAGTGACATATAGCAAAAACACGACCTGACACAGAGAGGACAAAAAAAATGCTAGAAGCAGCAGAAAAGAAAATCCTTACAAAAATCGATGGTAAGACACTATGGGACAGAGCTAGAAGTACACATATACGACGTAGATACAAGGTGGACAATATCGACTGAGTAAGAAATAGAATGAAACGATCATATAAGCCAAATAAAAACAAATAAAGTAGTAAAGATAGTGAGAAAAGGTTTCTAAATAGGAAGAACATTAGTGGGAAAACCTCGGAAACGATGGAACAACAACTTACTGAAACAGTTTAAAAACAGAGTCACGTTTGCACAAAAAAAAGGAAGAAAACTGTAATACCCTAATGAATTTATTGGATTTTTAAACCATTTTTTCACTTTGATGAAAACTTACGATATTTTATAAATAGATACATAGTTGATATAAATTTATTTAGCTAAACTACCTATCTATTTAAATTACTTGGCTTAATTTCATCGAGTTAGAATCTTAATTTACATACGATCTTTGACAAATAGTTTGTACTTTTCAAAAAATATGTTAGGTTAATTAATGAAACACTGTCCTTTTTATTTATGGCCTCCTAGATAAAATATATTTATTGACATATCGTCACTAAAACTAATAATCTATATGATTATGAGAAGCATATATGCATAGGTATAGTTGAAAAAAATAAATATTTGTATTTAAAAAGCTTTGGGATGGAATATCAGAAACATTTGTACAGTGCTGATACTCTGTTTACTCTACGTATAGTACAAACAAACATATGATTCCTAGGCAATATAACAGCTAGAACAAAGTACACTGCACTTTGATGATGACAGATGATTTTAATATATATATATATCGAAATTTAAAAACTACCATAAAAAAAAATAAAAATGAAAAAGACAGCAAATATTTGATTTCACGCAAACAAATCCTATGTATCTGTTGATACGTATTTCGACCTAATAGATCTCATCAGAACAGCTATTCATAGGAGTTCTCAACGTGAAAAATCAATATTTTCTGCCTTTTAAGAAGCAACAATAAAATGGCTTCAATACGGACGCGATAGCGACATCTAATTACAAAACAGTAAAATAGTTTCGAAACACAATTCAGATTTCTGCTTATAATCTGAGCCTTCTAAAAATTGCAAGGCAAACAGACGTTGATAAAATATTTTAAAAGGACATGGGGAATCTAAAATTTGCATTCCACGACATGTCTTTTACAACTTAACAGAAATCCTTAGCGAATTGTGCTTCTATTACTCACACAGAGTAAATCCGAAATAAAATGAAAAAGACAGCAAATATTTTATTTCACGCAAACAAATCCTATGTATCTGTTGATACGTATTTCGACCTAATAGGTCTCATCAGATCAGCTATTCATAGGAGTTCTCAACGTGAAAAATTAATATTTTCTGCCTTTTATTTACCATAAAAAACTTTGGACTAAAGTTTATACAAAAAATAATGGTGCCAACCAATTTTTAAAAAAATGTTTAAACTGTTTTATGTTAATGTAAATATGTACTAACAGGAGTCCTAGCAATAAAAATTCCTCCTGACTGTGTCCATCCGGGATTGACGCCAGTTTCTGCTTCTAAGCCCGCCAGCAGATCTCTGGTTTTCTTTAACATCACATTGTCCACGTCTGTCGCTCTCAAACTCCACACCAAAGCGCCACTGTGCCATGTTGTTCCACTAGTTAGTTTATTTTTCTCAAGAAGAATAGCATTTACTCCTAGTTTTGATAAATGGTATAGTATACTGGAGCCTATGACACCGCCACCTAAAAATAATAATTAAAATAATATTACCAAAATGAAGATATGTGTCGTTTTTCATCAGATTTTTTTTTATTTGTTCCGATAATGTAGAGGTTTCAGTTTTATGGTATCCGAAATTCACCATTTAACCTCCTTCGTTCGCTACATAAGACCTGTCCATTCTAAATCATGTATTGCTAAGTTATCACGACATGAACTCCATAGAATACAATGGTTTGTCTTTATTAGACTGTAGACGTTTTCCAAAGTTTTTATTCGAGTTATAGTCCTTTCATGTCAGCTGATACTATATAAGAACTTACCATAACCTATCCTTTTTTTTTAATATAAAACACCATTGAGTAAACCGGAAATGCGTTTTTAAACCGAACTTCTTGACAGATTTAATTTTATTGAGTTACAATAAATGTTGAAATGTTGAAACATCTTAATAAAGGCTAAATAGTAAACAATTTTCGTTTTTTTTTTTCTAATTTGATGATATGGTAAAAGATTGCAAAAATTTAAGAAATCTACTTAAAAACATTTATCTCTTTTTAAAATGATTTATAAAAGACTCTATTTTTAACGAAAATTATGATAATTTATTATGTTGTGTGATAAAATTTTAATAAATACACCAATAATTAAATACTGGATTATTTTACTCGCGTCAATTCTTGTTTATTTCAATAAGAATGCAGATTACAGCAGAAGCTTTGAACTTTGTAACGATTATGTAATATATTTCTGTAATTATATTTATACCGAGATATTAATTTGACGTTTTTCTAAATATACACTCGGTATTATACAATAATTAAAGATGATCCAATGTCTAGAGCACCTTCAATCTTATGAAGAAAGAAAACAACATAACGCCAAAAGCAATGCGGAACGGCTCGCAAGAATTTGAAGATGACAACAATACCATATGCAAAGAATATAGACACATATCGTCTAATCGAAGAATTAAAAAGAATACAAAATAAATAGAATATTACAACATTATTTATATTATTTATATATTTTTAAACGGTTTGAGGATTGGAGATCTTAACCTCAAAAACAAATGTATAATGTAATTTTTATTACAATCAATTATGGCTTAATTCCATACAAATTCAATAGGTACTTAGTATTCATAACCTACAAAAAAATGTAGCTTACATGTACATCATATAGCTTGAAGTCACTGCCTCACGCAGATTCGATGAGATTGGATTTTGTATTGAACTTTCAAAACAGTTGCAAAGCTGAACTGAAATTTCAAAATAGCTACTCTTGGTAGTAACATCGTCGCAGACAGTGAATTTTGGCTAAAACAATATTCTATAAATTGCTTGTCTTGTTCAAATCTGCTAAACAAGGTAAAAAGCTCGGATTCGTTCAGAACAATATTCCCATAAGATTTTTTTACATAATCACTTTCATGAGATACCCCATGAAATAAGATTTAAGAGGTCGCCATCAAAGTGTAAAATTGTTAAATAAATGAAATAATGATTTGACACGGAAATTGTTTTTTTTTTTTTAATTTTTTGGACTACTTACTTACTCCGTGGCGTTACAACCCTTCGTGGGTTTTAGCCGACTCGACAACATGCCTCCACTATTTTCTTTCTTGAGCAACCTGCATCCAATTCTCCACGCCCATAGTGCTTAGGTCTCCTGCTATATTATTTCGCCACCGGAGACGAGGGCGTCCGCGTGGTCTCCTTCCAGTTGGGATTTCCTCCCACACCAGTCTTACTGTTCGTTCGTCAAAATATCTTTTGAGGTGTCCTGCCCATTGGAGTCTTCTGGATTTTATTTCTTTTATGATGTTGGCGTCTGGGTAAAGTTATTCGAGCTCTTTGTTAGTTCTTATCCTATATTGTCCTGATGCTTCATCCAGCACAGGACCAAAGATCTTCCTTAGGATTTTTCTTTCCCAAACACAAAGTCTCTCTTCGTTTGCCTTTGTTATCGTCCACGTTTCGCTTCCATACATCAAAACGGGTTTTATGATTGTTTTACAGACCTGTATCTTCGTACGTCTTGTTAGTTGTTTCAATTTTATGAGGTTTTGGAGGGCAAAAAGACATCTGTTGCCGGCCTGAATCCTGTTGTTTCTTTCTTGTGATCCGTTATTGTCTTCAGTTATTGTTGTTCCAAGATACTTGAATTCTCTAAAACGCTCAAATTTAAAATCATCGATGATGTTCTGACCGATTCTGTCTCTGCTTTGGTTATTGCGGCTCATATACATATATTTCGTCTTGTTTTCGTTGATTTGGAGTCCCATCTTCTCTGCTTCCTTCTCGAACCTCACGAAAGTCTCCTTCATCCTTAATCGTGTGTTTCCTATTAGATCGATATCGTCTGCGAATGCCAGTAGTAAGTTTGGTCCTTCTCGATGAAATACTGTATTCGGTTCTTCGATTCTTGCACTTCTGATTATGTGCTCCAGAGCTAAGTTGAAGAGTTGTGGTGAAAGTGCATCTCCCTGTTTTAGTCCTTTGGTTATTTCAAATGTCTCCGAGTATTGTTGTTCAACTCTCACCTTACATCGTATTCGTTCCATATACATCCATATCAACCTGACTAGTTTTTTACCTTGACTAAGGATTTTGTAGGTGGTGTTTAGTATTGTTATTCTCCTGTAGTTAATACATTGCTTTTTGTTTCCTTTTTTGTGCATTGGTACAATAACTCCTGCTTTCCATTCATCTGGCATTGTTTCTTCTCGCCAAATGTTTTGAATTAGCTTGTATATAGAACTGTACAACGCTTCTCCTCATGTTTTAAGCACTCTGCGGGTATACCATTGCTACCTGGTGTCTTATTATTTTTAAGTTTTTTAATTGTCTGTATTACTTCTTCGTATGTCGGGTATTGGTCTTCTATTTCAGCTGTATGTACCTCTATATTTGATGTATTTCTGCTAGATTGGTCGTTCAATAGTTGATAGAAGTATTCCTTCCAGGTTTTTAGGATTTCCTTGTCATCAGTAATAAGCTGACCGCTGTCGTTTTGAAGAATGTTTCCTGTTCTTGCTTGGTACTCGGTCTTGATATCTGAAACTCCTTTGAAGAACTGTCTCGCTTGTTTGTTATTTCTTTTTTCTTCTATATCTCTGATTATTTGTTCCTGGTACTCACTCTTCTTCCCTTTCATTAGTTTTCTTGTCTCTGTTCTTCTTTATCTATACATTTTATTTTAGTTGTGTAAGGGGTTTTGTAGCATGTTCCTTCTAGCCATATTTGTTGCTGTTATGGAGTTCAGGCAATCATCATCGAACCATTTTTTTTGTTGTTTTCTTTTTGTGTCCTAGTATTTCATCTGATACGTTTGTCAGAGCTAATTTGATATTTTTATCCAAGCTGATTTTATGTTGTTATAGTCTTCTGTCTGTGCTAGAGCGATTTTTATAGCCTTTTAAAAGTTCTGTTCTGTCTTTTTATGATGCAGATCTTCGTTATTCCATAATTATTTTGATGTATTCTTGTGTGTTTTTTGGACGCTATTTTTGTCCTTATCTTTGCTTTTACCAGAAAATGATCCGTGTCTCTATCAGCTCCTCTTAGGCTTCTGACGTCTAGACAGTTACTACCCCTCCTGGCATCTACTTGAACATGATCGATCTGATTTCTTGTGATGCCGTCGTTGGAGACCCATATTTGTTTGTGTATTTTCTTGTGTTCGAACATTGTCGATTTTATTAGTAGGTTGTGGGACGCTGGAAAGTCTATTAACCCTGTTCCATTATAATTGCTGACATCGTGAAGACTATGGTTACCTATTGTTGGTTTGTACGCTGCTTTACATTAAAATCTTCTAAGATAATATGCATGTACTGTTTGGGTAGATTATTTATTACGTCCTCTAGTTTCTCATAGAAGTTATCTTTTACATGCTCTTTCTTCAGTGCATGGGCAGCAACTAGGGAATGATTATGTAGTTGTCCTTTGAGTCTAAGTGAGAGCGCCCCCCAAAGTGGCGTGGCACGTAGCAAGTGGCAAGTAGCACGCGTCTAGCATGTTTCTTAAAATGTAACCAATGAAAACGAATGATTCAGCGTACACCAAAATGACAGTGACGTCATTCATTCTAATCATTCGTTTTCATTGGTTACATTTTAAGAAACATGCTAGACGCGTGCTACTTGCTACGTGCTACTTACCACGCCACTTTGGTGGGCGCTCGCCCTAATATAAGAGTATTTCATTAACGGGTTTGAAAGTTAAGACTGACCCCACAAGATTTTCCCTGACTATAAAACCAGTACCGAATTGATGTTCCCGTTATTAGTTTTTAGTGTACCTTCTCCATTCTATCTAATTTCTTGTAAAGCAGTTTTATCCATGTTTCTGGTGTCAAGTTCTTTGACCACCTGAGTTAGGGCTCCAGGCCGATATAGGCTTAGTACGTTCTAGGTTCCTATATTCATTGTCCTTTGTCATTGCTTTTGTCGTCTTAAAAGATCCGTTCTGATCTGAGGCATGTGCTTCGTTTTCATAACTATGTTTTTTTTACAAGAAGGAATAGTTAGTCCCTTGCTTAACCCTCTTCCTTTTCTCATCCTGGACTTGAGACCAGACAACGGCGAAGTTTTTTGGATTATCTCAAACAAAATATTTCACTTGTTAGTTTTTTTTTGTAAACTTGATTGTTTTGAGTAATTTAAAACTGGGAAAGTGGAATATTTTTCATGGGAATATTTTTCCGACATTTCGCCTTGTCTTTGCAGAGTAATGAAGATTTTAAATGCATATCAAAACAAGCACATATATAAAAATAACTATGTTCCCATTGAAGATTCAGCTTGTGTATGAAACATAAAAAAGGCAAACTTTATGTGACAGCAATGAAATTCGTGCATTTCTTTTTCGAACAAGACTTAGAAAAGGCGTTAATTAGTCGTAAGGCATCAAAAATGTGAAAAGTTGCAAATACAGTTGCTACAGAAAAATAAGAAAACCTGGCTTTAGTGAATAAAAAAATTCTTACAATTAACTCATTCTTTCATCACAAAACGACA